CAGAGGTTATTAGACCCGGTCTCTAAAACTTCATTCATAACAACTCCTGTTGATTTAGCCCAGTTTCCATCTTTTTAAGAGGGAAGGGAGCTGAAAATCCATATGCCAGGAAGGCTCTGACATAAACTGCCAGGAGGAGCAACTATCCAGTTTGGATAAAATGGAACATGAGAGAGCTGGAATAAAGTACTACCAGAAACCCAGCCTCCAGAGCTTGGCTGGGCCTCTTCCAAAGGCAGGTCTAATACCACCTACTCCTACCCCTTCCTGAGCTCAGGCTGGGCTGTAGTATGGAGGGTCTTTCCCATTCCACATGAGATTTTCCCAGGACCATCTCCTACTATTGGTTATATTCTGAACATGATGGATTTTAAAATATGTCGCTCTTTCGATAAGAACTTGATGATATGAGATGTCAGAAGCAAGAATTTCACAGTGAGCCAAGTGTGCCAGATACAGAGAGGTTAGCCCTGGGACCAGTTTCCCAGCACTCTCCCGCTCTCAGAGTAAGTTAAACTTTTTGAGAGATCATTCTTACAAGTCCCAAGGAGGTCCACCAGAAGTTAGAAGGGTGGGTGTGGGCAAGTGGGAGCAGGGAGCCTGTCTTGGATACCAGCCCTGTGGCAAGGCTCCTTCAAAAGGGAAAAATCAGCAAGGAAAATGAAGGAAGATAAAGGGGAAAATTAAAGTAGCAAAGACAGGGAAAAGTTTAAGTTTTATGGTTTCTTCTGTTAAATAATAGGTGGCTGATACAAAAAAGTTCAGAAAATTAAGAAGCAGATAAAACAGATAAAAAGTAATTTGATAACTTGGAGAAAATCACTGTTAAAATTTCTGCATATGTACTTGCATACTTTCTATGAAAATCTACATGGACAGATAAATTTTAGAACAATGGAATACGTCTGCATAAAAATATATAGAGAGAGACACATACACACACATATTAATTTATTGTGAAAATCCTTCCTCATAAAAAAAAATACATGACCTCATCATCATTTTCTTGGCTATATAGTTTTCTATTATAGCATAGTTTACACACCCAATCTCTTACCAATGGACTTTTCTCCAATTGTTCACTATTATAAACAATGTTCTGATTACTCACGTCTTGGTATATCTTTGCAAACTTGTTGCATTCTTTCCCAGAACACAACTGCTGGGTCAAAGACATACACTTTTTGAAATACTTTTCAGAAATGTTATTAAACTGTCTCCCAGAAGTGCTATGCTGATTAATATTAGGGTGTGGGTATCCAGTTCCCCTCATCCTTTTATGTCTTTGGCCAACTGTGCAGGAGAAAAAAACTATATTTGTATTGCTTTTGTGTTACAAGTGAAGCTGAATCTCTTTTAATGCTTACTGGCCATTTTGAGATGCATTTCCTTTGCCAATGTTTTTCAATTGGAGTGTTCGTCTTTATTCTCTTGTTGATTTGTAAGGACTCTATAGTCTGGATTCCCCTTGCCATATGTGTTGCTACTCTGTTAACATTTAAGAGAAAATTAAAACTAAAATGTGACAATAAGACAAGAAAATATTTTAACTGATAAAAATAAAAAATACAGAAAATGTTACTTTAAACGGGAAAGGATAAGAAATTCAGGTGAGACAAAATAAAGTCCAGAGAGAAATAGGAAACTTTAAGGTAAAGAAATAGAAAAGTAAAAATAACCAGTACCAATGAAATCAAAGCAAAATTCTAGAACAATCCCTACATTCTAATTTGTGTAATATAAACTGTCCATAAGAAAATGCAAAAAAAAAAAAATTCAGGGGTGCAGAGGATGATATGACTTATCCCAAGCAGGGCAGGGACAGTGCCACGGATCTTTAATCGAGGTGTCTGCAGAGACCTGCACAGTGGATCAAAATGGGGAATAGTATCCAAATCCTTCAGAGTACTCTATATACTTGTTCAGACCATTAGCAAATCCTCCTGAGGAGGCCAAATCCATTTAAAGTGATTTTTAAGAAGGGCAACAGATAAAAAGGTAGTCAAGGAAAGAATTACAAAAACAGGATGGAGTCATGATGGAAGCAGGTTAATCTGTCATTTTAATTGCATTGTCTCTTCTTTTTTGTTCACTAATTAGATCAAGAAACTATTAGAGTTACAGACGCTAAAAAGTGACTCTTCTTGAAGAAACCTTAAACAAGGAGATCACCCACTCCAGGTTTCACGTAAGATAAATTAATCCAACATGGGATACCAAGGAGATCCATATCTTAAGAGTGGTATTTCTGAGAGTACATGACAGTTTATCTTTAAAAAGGCAGAAAGTATGCATAAACTGCTTCTATGACCATTTAGTCTTCACAGAGCAGTATGAGATCAGTTTTATTATTTCCCCATTTTATACATGAGAATGCAAAGGTCCGCAAAGGCTAAGTGATTTGCCTCATCGAGGCGCTAAAAGCGTGTGCTATGGAGCTGGAATCAGAAACTCTAGGCCACTGCTATTCGATAGAAATGTAATGCGAGCCATATATGCTATTTAAAATTCTCTGGAAAAATAAATAAATAAAATTCTCTGGTAGTGGGGCTCCTGGGTTGGTTCGGTCAGTTCAGTGTCCTCTTCTTGGTTTCAGCTAAGGTCACGAGCTCAGGGTCCGGTGATCGAGCCCCACCTTGGGCTCGACTCCTCCTCAGGCCTAGGCCTCATGCTAACGCACGGAGTCTACTTGAGACTTTTTCTCCTTTTCCCTCTGCCCTTCCCCCTGTGCTCTTTCTCTCAAGTAAATAAATAAATCTTTAGAAAGAATTCTCTAGTAGCTACATTTAAAAATAAAAACAAAAATGTGAAATAAAATTTAATAATATACTTTATTGAGCACAACGCATTCAGACTATTATCTTAACGTGTAATCAATATAAAAATTAATCAGATGTTTTACATTTCTATTTTCATGCTGGATATTTAAATCCAATATGTCTTTTACATCTACAGCATACCTTACTCTGCACCAGCCACATTTCGAATACACAAGTACATTTCAAGTACTTAACAGCCACCTAGGCTAGTGGTTGCCTCATTGGACAGCCCAGTTCTAGACCAGTGGTTCTCAAGATGTGGTATCCAGACCAGTTGCATCAGCATCACCAGGAAACTGTGAGAAGTACAGATCCTCAGGCCCCATTCCAACCCTACTGAATCAGACCCTCTGGGAGTGGGAAACACCAGTCTGTATTTTAACAAGTCCCTTCTGGTAATTCTGAAAGATGCTAAGGTTTGAGAATCATTGTTCTAGACAATTGCCTCTCCTGTCGCAATTCAAATCTAGGACAGAGGCTAGTACTAAGGAAGAGGAGCCCCTTCTCTCGAGATCAACAATTTTTGGCTAGATGACGTTGGCATTCTCTTGTATGGAAACCCTTTATGCGTTGTTGTGGTTCCATTTCTTGGGACCGTGGAATGAATTCCCAGACACATAATTTGAATACGGCATCATTTATCACTTTGTTTAAGGAGGAAACAACACCCCGCAGTAATCACCCTATACTATCCCCTGGAGTTTAGTTACTAAGTTCTCTTGCCCTCAGTTTCTTCATCCATAAAATGGGGATCCATTAATAATGTAGGTAATTTTTTTCAAAGTTTTCGTTTATTTTTTTTAGTAATCTCTACACCCAACATTGGGCTCGGACTCAGGACCCCCAGGTCAAGAGTCACATACTCTTCTGACTGAGCCACCCAGGCACGGGGGCAATGTTTTTTCAAAGCACTGCGTCCAAAAAAAAGTCAGCAAAAGTGACTGATATTTTTAAATTCTGGTTAAAAAAACTAGTGGGCAGGAAAGGTAATATAGATTTTGAGCATAGAATCAGAAGCTAATTCACTTCTATTTCTCAGAACATTAGATTTGCTGAGGGGGGAAGGGTAGGGTTCTTGCCAAGAGCACTAAGGAGAATGACTCTGAGCATGCCTTAAAGGAGACTTTTCAGTAAACAGGAATTACCTATAAAGAAAATCAGGAAGCCAACGTGTTTCTTTTTATGAAGTTACATCCTGCCATAGAAAAGCTGGATAGGAAATAAAGACTGATGCACTCCGAACTGTATACTTAACCGGCTATTAGTTCATCAAGGAAAATCTGAGCAAAAGCTGAGATTTGATGAAGGGGGGGGGGGGAGGACCATGAGTAGCGAAACGTCACGAGAAACCAAAGACAACCAACAGCTACAATTATACATGGTTTTTTTTTGGGGTGGGGGGAACTATACAAACAAATGTCTACTCTGTGATTTCAGATTCCTAAGTCGCCACCTGCCCTCTCCACCCCTCCCCCTATTTCAATACTACTTCTTCCAGGCTTTTGCTTGAAAATAAATGTGTGCGTCCACGGGAATGCAAGAGTAATAGATTAATCTAATTTCCTCCTTCTCTTTGTTATTATTGACATTAACTGTGCGTTTCCAGGGTTCTCCGGGTCTTTCGGAGTTCCTGGGATTGGATCTTACCTTGCTCCACACTCCCCAGTGTGATGAGCGACAACATCCTCACCACCTAACCCTTTCCCAGTTCACCCTCCCACCTTCAATGAAAAGGCAGCAGAAGGGCAAGAGAGCCCTTTCTCCACGCAGGTTCCCCTGGTTTTGGGGGCGGGGGGTGGGGGGGTGGGATGGCAGATGCCTTTCTGCAGTGGCAGCTGCAACCTCCCGCAAAGCAGGAGCTGCAGCTCGCACTGTCCCCTCCTTCCCCCGCCCGAGCCCACGACCTCGCGAGTCCACGCGATCCCCCGGAGCACGCACAACTCCTCCAGCCTCGCATCCCCTCTCGCAGCCCACACGGCACGCGCGCCAGGACGCCTGCTGCCACAGTAACGCCCCGCCCACCCGGCGGCCCCGCCCCCGCCGCGGCGGCCCCGCCCCCGCCGCGGCGGCCCCGCCCCCCGCGCCGCGGGCACCAATGGCCGCCGGCCGCAGCTCCGCACGCGTGCTGCGATAGGCCGGCGCGGCCTGCCCGTCTCCGCGCGCGTCCCGCCCCGTCCTCACTCCGGGGCTGGGGCTGGAGGGGCCGGAGCATCCGCGCGAGTAGCTGCGAGCAGCCGCGGCGGCGGCGGCGCGTCCCTGCGATTGCGCCATCTGTCAGGAGCCGAGCGGCGGGGAGGGGCTGCCGCGCGGGAGGAGGAGGGGTCGCCGTGAGCCGAGGCCGCCCGCGAAGGCAGAGGCGGGCTGCCCCGGGACGGAGGAGCACGCGCGGCGCTGCAGCCCCCGCGCCCCGGCAGCGCCCGCCGCGCACAAAGCCGGCGAGAGGGATCCGGCCGCCGGCCCGGGCACACGCGGCGCCGCCCCCTCGGCGCCCCCGGGAGGCCCCCGGCTCCGGGCCCGCCGAGCCGCCTCGGCCGCGCCGGAGGAGGGCGGGGAGGACCATGTGCATGGGCTCCGGAGCCTGAGCGCCGCGCAGGTAAGCGGCCGCGGGGGGCGGGGGATGCTGCGGAGACGCCCGCCCCCGCCCCCGCCCCCGCCCCCGCCCGGCGCTGCAGTCTCCCCGCCGCCGCCGCCGCCGCCGCCGCCGCCTCCGGGGCGCCCCGCGGGGCTGCGGGGCTCCGGGCCGGCGCGGAGCGGGGGACGCCTCTGCGGGGCGCGGCCCGGGGGGCGCGGGGATGCGCGGGGGGGCGAGGCCGGCCCGGGCTCCACCCTCGCCCTCCTTTCGGGGGGCCCCGCGGGGACCCGGCTGTGCGTGTGCGCGCGCGTCTGTGTGTGTGTGTGTGTGTGTGTGTGTGTGTGTGTGGTGTTGTCCTAACGTCAGGGATGATGTAATCACTTAATAATTGATGCCCCGTGCTGCTCCCCTCCCCAGCGCACCCCACCCCACCCTGCCCCACTCCCCCTCGGCCTCCTCCCGCGGCCGTCGCCGTCCTCAGCGCATCCTCCTGCCTATTTCGGGCACCTCCCGAGCACTTCCCCCATCCTCCCCTTCACTCTTCCTGTGCCGCCACCCACCCAGCCTCCCCGCCCCCGTGCGAGCCTCGCCTCCTCCTCCGCCTCCCCACCCCTTCTGCTCCCCCAGGCTCCCCTCTCCTCCCATCCCTGCCCGCTGGGTTTCCTCTCCGCTTCCCCAGATCCATGACTATTTTTTTGTCTGGTCGCCTCCGCCGCTCTTATCTCTGCGGCCACAGGCGGAGGGGACCCGGCCAGAAAGAGGCCACCGAGGCTGGGCCCAGGCGGAGATTTGCTGGGACTCCGTGAGAAGAGGGACGATAAGAATCGCCCTTCTTGCCCCTCCTCCCCTTAATAAATCTCACAGGCTCGCCGGGTGTGTGTGTGTGTGTGTGTGTGTGTGTGGTGACACAAAGAGCCCTTTCAGTGCACAGAGAGGAGACGCACAAAGTACCCAAGGATGGGCACGATGATTCTTATTTCTCTTCACTGGGGCTTCCCTTTCTCTCAGATAAAGCAGTTGATTTTCTCTCTGAGAGTCTTTCCTGCCACATTGACCAAAATAAATAAATAAATAAATAAATAAAAGGCCCCAGATGCTGCAGGGTGGCAGGTGCTGTCATTTTGCCATATTCCTGGACCCAGTGCTGTTGACTGGCAGCTGCAGTGTTCCTTAGATTTAAGGGGGAAATGATGCCAGCCGTCTCCAGAGTTGCTTCACTGTCAAGGTAGCCCTCCTCTGCCTTGTTTTAACCTCCTCTCTTCCGGGGATAGGTGCTCAAGAGCTGGGGTGCAAAACATGGCTGTGGGGGCAGAAGAATTTTGCTTCTGCCTCAGATAATTGGCGTTTAGACTTCTCTGAAGTCTTAAGAAATGCTGAAGCCTTGAAATGAAATTTCGTCTGCCCAGCGGTGTTGTGTTGGCCTTATATTTAAACAAGTTTCTGGGGACATCAAAAAAACACGGCCTAAGTTGGTATTTGGAAGACCACTGGAGACCGTGCCTCTTCCCTGCTTCAGAGTAGCCTTCAGACACCCACATCCTTCCTCTCACCACCCAAGCGATGGCAATACTTTCCACCCTTTGTGCTCTTTCTCCTGAGTCCTGATCCCATGGGTACTGTGCTTGCAGATGTAGGGACTCAAAGACTTTTGGAGGAAGTGGTTTGTTAACTATCTCAGGTTTGGGCACACTTAAATGAGAGCAAAGGATGTAGAGAATCTTGTGAAGGAACTTTGAACCATCTGTTTGGTGTTCCTCTCAAAGAGGAAATGTTAATGTAAATCTAGAGGCTTAATGTTCCATTTTGCAAGCCGGTGACCATTACGTGCTTAATCGATAACGTGAAAACTTAGTTTGAACCCCACTGATTCCTAAGAACATGGCTCCTTGACTATTGTAGGGAATCCGTCTCAAGTTTGTGCTTCAAGAATTTTATTAGAAAAGAGTTATGATTCACTAAACGTTTACTTCTCCACTTTCTAAGGACATTCATCGTGGACCTTTTTATATTTTAAAAAAAAAAAAGCAATAGGGTTAATGAGTGTACTGTAAAAACAAAGGGTTGTTTGTTTGATGCCAGACCCAGGAAGGAAAGTCAGTGCACAATAAGCTCACACTGTGTTGACCAAGCTAAAGAGACTTAATGATAAGGTTGAATGTGAACAAATGCACACTCTGCTTTCTGTATTTACTCTATGCTTTGTACTGGGTCTGGACTCTCCAATCCCATCTGATTTTCTTGGGTTCTATTTAACCTTTCGGGCTCAGCTCAAAAGTCTGATGCTTTTTCCATCCTCCCCTCCAAACAAATCACCACGCCTCCAATTTTGTTTTCAGACTTCAGCAGCAGGCATTATGTTTGGCATGTCTCTGTTCCCATCATTAGTCGGTCAGCACATTGAGAGAAGCAATCTGGTCTTACTTATCCTATATCAATAAATGTGAATTAGGTCTTTGGTATGTGCCAGGCACCTGACTCATTAAGCTAATTTTAGCAGCTATAACAAATAGGCCTGCAAAAATGTAATGGCTCAAAAGCAATAGATGTTTATTATTCCTCATGTAGTAGTCTACTTTTTAAATGCCTTGGCCTGGAAATGACACCCATCACCTCCACTCACATCCTGTAACATGAGGGTGAGTTATTTGGCCACACTTAACTGCTGGGGAGCCTAGGAATCACAGGTTAGCCCCTTGACAAAGAAAAGAGATCAAGAAGAAGTGTATTTTGGGCCAGCAGCTTTGCCATGTGTTGGCACTCAACGAGGCACAGTCATTGCCCTCAAGGAGCTTGCAGGCTGATGAGAATTAAAATATATGGAAACCTGGAGCCTGTACCCACCATTGTTTTATTCTTTTGATTTCCTGAGTTCAGACCTTTTTATTTTACACGTGTTTTAAAAAACTTTGCTTTTTGTCGGTTCAAGCAGCTAGTTCCCACTCAGTGACTACTTTTAATACAGGGATCTCATGCCTTTGCTGTTGACTTTGATATGGTTCTTTCACTCCAGGAGCACCTTTTTTTGGCCCAGGGTTGTTGTTGCGTTTTTTTTTTTTTTTTTTTTTTTTTTTTTTTGCTGATTTTTAGACTCTCCATGTGGGTAGGAGGATCCTTTGAAATCACAGTTCCACCTTGGCAAGCAGACTGCAGAGGAGGAACTTCTTGCCTGGGGCCATGCTAGTGGGAAGGGAGCCCCAGCAGGCCCAGATCTCCCTCCACCTGGGCCCCCTTCACCACACAGCTGCCCTGACTTGGTGACTGTGACTGCTGTGTATTCTCTGGAGACTGAGTGAGCTTCCAGACCTCCAGGAGCAGGGCAGGCTGCTAGTGTTCTGGATAGTGTCTGTTCTCCACAGGCCTCCAAAGTGTTAGAGCAATGCAGTCCATACTATTCATCATACTTAATAATGCACATATTTTTGCTACAAGCAGTTCATTATATTCATCTGTTCTGCAAACATTAGCCAAGTGTGTTATTGTGTGCAAGGCACTGGGAGATAGGGTCATGAAAATGAATGCTTCTGCTGTCCTTGCTCTTCCGGGGCTCACAGTCTGCTAGAGGAGATGAAAACAGATAAATAATGGCTAACTTTTATTGAGCATTTACTATGTGCCAAGCAGCGTTGAAGTTCTAGTCTTTTTTTTTAAAGGTTTTATTTATTTATTCATGAGAGATATGAGGGGTGGAGGCTGAGACACAGGCAGAGGGAGAAGCAGGCTCCATGCAGGGAGCCCGACATGGGACTCGATCCTGGGACCCCAGGATCACGCCTTGGGCTGAAGGCAGGCGCTTAACCGCTGAGCCACCCAGGGATCCCCTGAAGTTCTAGTCTTAACAATAATGACATGAAGTGGTTTCACTTGTCCCCATCTTACAGATGGGAAATTGAAGCAGGGCAGGTTAAGTAACTCAAGATCACACAGTTATTGGGTGGTAGAGACACGATTCGGGCCCAATTAGTTTGGTTTCAGAGCCCTTGCTTTTTAGCCACTAGGCAATATGCAAAATATTATATATGGATATAATGATATTAAAATAAATTATAGGCCTTAAGGGGGAGGGCTAAATGCTATGGAAATTGATACTTCTAGTTGTTGTGAAACGACTTTATATTTAAATTTTTAAAAAAGTAAAAAAAAAAATGAGAAAGCAAAGCATGTTGATAGTGGTAATACTTTTACTCTGTGTGATTCCTATTTTAAGCTGGGTCCTTCTGTGGGACACAGAGAGGTCTGTGTGTGTGTGAATTGTCCTACGTATATGCTTTGCAGCATTCATTCGTTGTATTGACCATGCCAGACATTGAACTAGATGCCTCAGGGGCAGAGTACGTGTAATCCTGCTCCAAAGAACTTACCTGGTTGAAGGAAGTGATTCTAGGGGTTGTCTCAAGAGAACATATAGAAGGGGGGCATCAACTCTGCAAAGAGGTGGGAAAGTGGGCCAGCCAGGCTGAAAAGGTTTGGAGGAGGATCTTTGAGATGAAGAGTAGGTGTCTGCTAGTAGAGTGTTGTAGGAAGGCCATTGCCCCAGGAGGAGCATCCCAGAAGGCAAAGGCAAGGACCTTTCGGGAAACTGAAAGTAGTTCAGAGTAGGCGGGGGTTGTAGAGAGATGGACAGAGGAAGAAGATGGGGCTAGAGGAAAAATTGAGAATGTTCCTGTAAGTAGAGTTGACCTTTGAACAACGTGGGTTTGAACTGCGCCGTCCACTTAGGTGTAGATTTTTCTTTGATAGATACATTACAATATTGGAAATGTATTTTCCTCACCACTTTCTTAACATTTTTTTCTCCAGCTTACTTTATTGTCAGAATATAGTATATAATACATGTATCATACAAAATATGTGTTAATCAGCTCTTTATGTTATCAGCACCTTCAACAGTAGGCTGTAAGTGGTTGAGTTTTGGGGGAGTCAAAAATTACACACAGATTTTTAGACTGCCTGGGGATCGGCTCCCCTAACTCCTATGTTGTTCAAAGGGCCAGAATGTCAGAATGCTGTTTAAGAGTTGTAAG